TATATAGACACATATATATTCTTGAACCTTCCTTTTCCACACTTTGTACTTGTTCTGTATTTACGTTCCTTTTTGTTTTTGGGTTTTTTTTCTTTTTTTTTTTTTGGAGACGGGTAAACAGGGTCTCTCTATGTTGCCCAGGCTGGTCTCACATTCCTGGACTTTAGCAATCCTCCCACCTCAGCCTCCTGAGTTCCTGGGACTGCAGACCATGCCACCTCTTGCAGCTTTGTATTTGCAGTCCTTGGATGGTCTCCACTTCTAGCCACTTTGTCTTTATTTGGCCATTTAAGTTTTTGGCTAAATTAAACAAATAACTTCTACATAATTTTTCTCTTATTCTCTGTACTGGGTTGTCATTCTTTGATAATTTAGTACTTATTATGATAGAACTAAGCTCTACCAATTTGATACCACTTTCTCTGCATATTAAAGATGATTTATGTCTTTTGCAGTGAACTCTTCAATTGTAGAAATGAATCCATGTTATCTATATACCTATATACCTCAGTTTTTCAATGTCATTGAAAAATCCTCTTGTAGCTACTTGCTTCAGGGTTTAAAATGTTTCCTAGTGTAATGACTTCCTTGAGTCATCTGACTTTACAAGTGGGAACCAAAAGCTTCCTTGTCTACTTGTGAAATTCTTGATTTTTTTTTTCCTTGAACTTCCTTTGGCTTTTCCCTTTGGCTTACATCTCTGGCTTTTTGTTTTGTTTTTTATTTTACTTGCAACTTTGTTTTACAGAGTAGGCACTTGACAAATTTCTTGCTTGAATACTATTTAGTAAGTGAACAAATTCCCTGCAACAATGACTGGAACTTGATTCAGAGTTGAATGAAAAAAATTCATTAATTCTTTTAGCATTTACTGAGCACCTGCTGGTGCTATGGAATGAGAGGAAACAGATCTTCCTCTTCTTTCTGGAGCTCCCTTTCCAGTTGGAAAGATAGAAGCAGCAACAAAAATTGTGCTCAAAACCTTGGCCATGGTATGTTATTGAAACCCTAGCGTTCGAATTTTATACTTGACTTGCATTCTACTCTAACCCATGGCTGGGTTATTTTAATCTGGCAAATAATTATAAGGCTGTGCTCCAAGTACACTGATGGAGCTATTAATAAAATGTGTGGTGGCACAGGGAAGTTATATAGAGCACAAAGCTGTACCCCCAGAGAATCTATATCAGTTACTGTCCGCCTTGGCTTTCTGGCTAACATTCAGCCTAAATGTAGAATGAATCTGTCCCTTTAACCTAGGTAGTCAGCAGAAATGGCAAGGAACCTAGAAAGAGGAACCAGGCAAGGGATCAGAAACGAGGCAATAGGTAAACAGGTACCAGGGATGGTGATAAGACAGAAGCAAATGGAATTTTCATTTTCTTCTCTACTTTTCTCTATTTTCCAGATTTTCCTATTGCAAGCGGGCAGTGCTTTTTATAATTAGAAAAAACAATGCTGTATAAAAAGAATTTTAAGAGCAATTTCTGATTTTGAACAGAGCTGTCTCCTTGGCCCTTGAGTTACAGTGGAGAATCCATTGTGTAAACTGAGCAAATATACCCACCGGGTTGAATTTTTAATTCAAGCTAATCTTCTCTAGATAAGCTTCAGAGAATGTTAAATATTTTATTTTATTGTGGCATAATTGATCCTATGCTATTCTCTAGGACAGATATGATTGTTTCTTGAGCCACTTTTTATTCCTTTGGTGAAAACCTTGAGGGGTAGGAATGCATGTCTTCCTGACTGCTCTTGCATGAGGATATACATCCAGTTCCTCTAAAGGTGACATCAGATATCATTAATGGGACATTTAGATAACCTAAAAAGAAGTGAGGCTGAGCCACAGCCCTTCATACGACTTGGAATTGAGATCTGGTCTCTGAACTCACACTTTGCTGAAGCAGTAAAATTTCAAATCTTGCTTAAACTCAAGCAGCTCGACCTGTTGCTGATTTTTCTGCCAAGGAAATTGAAGCCTGGTAATTAATGAAT